TGAAACTATGAAACTATGAGGCCATGCGAAGTGTCGAAGGCTCACTGACACACACACACACGGCCAGAGCTGGGCTCTCCGATGAGTGAACCCATCGAATACTCTACCGATTATTGGTTCCATTATTCGAATATTTTTTGGAGGTGGGGGGAGTCTGTCCCCACGTGTGCCGGCGGTGATGGCTGCGGCTCAGTCACGTCATTGTAATTGACAGCTGTACCACGATGAGCGTGGCTTGACACATTTGGCTACTATGAAGTCCCACGTGATTATTCACTTCGTTGAGCTATCATTCGTGGGCCTTACCTGGTGAAATAAACCTTGTTGGAAAAAAATTATAGCATGCGCGCATGGACACGAGCACGGACGACCAGACACGGACACTGTGTGAAATACTACTCTGTTTTTAAACCACAAAAAAAAAACTTGTTGAGAAAGAGGAGAGATAAAGCGATGGAGGATACTAAACTAAAACAAGAATACACAGAGCAATGCAAAACGATTTGGAAGAGAACGAGCAAATAAATCAGATGAAATATTTACGCAACATTTACCGAAGATGTCTCAGCGGGAGCATTCAAGCGGAGAACAGGAGGCTGATTATTTCGCTGGGCCATTGGTGGCTACGCTGCACGTGGCCTGTAACCCAGCACTGTGGAGGCAGCAACGAGGGTTAGCGGATTACCATACACAGATGTTGTGAAACTCCCTTTCCGAGGGCGTTGAGGAGGTGCCCTACCCTGGCTCGCCAGGACAAGGCCGGCAGTACAGCAACAATGTGAACACCACCTGTTCCACCAGGATGTTATAGAGTGTCCCCCCTCGCACGCGTGGATTTTCTCTGGGTGCTCCGGTTTCCTCCCACATGTACATGGTGGTCCAGATGTCTTGTGACACCCCCCCCCCCCGCCCGCAATTCACTGACTCCTAACAAAGTTTTTCACCCATTGCTTATTCATTTCTGTTTTCACACCCATTGGTTTACAAACATATTACGTTTTATAGAATTAAATGGGGGTCGCAGGACATCTGGACAACCCTGTACACTCATTCCTTGGCCAATAACACCTTAATATAGAAGAGGACTGCAGAACTTGGGTAGGAATTGTGGCGGCGGCTCACCTTGTGGCTGCTACTGCCTTCCCGCTTGTCTCTGGTTCCTCCGCACGCCTCTGAGTCGTCATCTCTCTTCTAGAACGTCCGGCGCTTTGACATTATCATCACCGTATGATTGGCAAGGCACACAATGTATTCTCTAGGGAGAAATAATGGAACCATGAATGTCGCCAGCAAAGGAAATTCAGATCTTTACTACCAAACTATTAAAACATCCGAGGCTCATTCTGTGAAGTGACGTTGGTCAACCCTAACCCTGGACAATATAAACAAAGGGGAATCTCCTGGACATCGGGGTGCGCGTGGCCATATAACTCATCATATGCCTGGTCCCATTGCCTCCCTGGCTTGGTGTTGATAGAGTCACTGCTGTATTCACGTGTTAAATGAAACAAAACGATTGTGTTGCGATCGAAACGTCGTGATTTGTTTTATTTGATTTCTAACTACGTGACTTTACCGAAAGAACCAAAGAGTATTTAAAAAAAACTATTTTCATCAGGGCACCTTGGTGTCAAAGCGCAGTTTCCTCAACTCGTCTCATCCATCCATCTCTATCGCCTGTATATTGTGATAAGGAGAAGGCCCGTTGAACGTAGCGTCGCCAATAATATATTTTTTTTATTGGCGAAGGCGTTGAGTGTTTGGGTATAGTGGAGGGTTAGATCAGCGCTCTGCAAACTTTGGAAGAAAGTGTTAGTTGAATAGCCGCATCCACACACAGCGCCACGTATACACAAACACGGCAGCAGGTATACGGCAGATGACAACACCTATTCTGACTTAATAATCAAAATTTCATGGAAAAAACTGCGTCTATCAAGTTCACCCCCCCTACCCCCGTTAGCTTTTCTTTAACACGACAGTTTGACGGTTGTACATTCGGGTGTCACCAAGACATTCCATAGTGACCCATTCCCTGACACATTTCCTAAATCGCTTATTATCTTTGCGTTAAATCGCGTTTAAGATTGTGTGAGTTTTATTTCAAAACGGTTGCCCGCAAGGGGGCGGGGGGGTGGGGGGGGAGCCAAAGAGCCGCCGCATGCTGCGACGGAGCCGCCGGTTGCCGACCGCCTGGTTTAGAGAGACACACAGTGGCGGATTATCCTCGTAGCAAAAGTAGATACTACTACACGTGTAGTAGTAGCTACTACTAGTAATAGCTACGATCTCTATGCATCTCTTTGTGTCTCTGAGTCTCTGTATATCTAGGGGCCTCCGTATATCTACGAGAATCTGTGAGTTTACAACATGGTCCATAGTTTGGGTGGAATGGCCACAATCACCACTGTGACATATCTTTAAATGCATCTCTATGGGTCTCTGTATATCTCTATGAGTCTATTTGCATCTCAATGAGTCACTTACCATGCGGTGACATAGTTTGGGTTTACTGTGCGGTCTCGTAGTTTGGGGTTTACTGTGCGATCCCATAGTTTTGGGGTTTACTGTGCGATCCCATAGTTTGGGTTTACTGTGCGGTCCCATAGTTTGGGTTTACTGTGCGATCCCATAGTTTGGGTTTACTGTGCGATCCCATAGTTTGGGTTTACTGTGCGATCCCATAGTTTGGGGTTTACTGTGCGATCCCATAGTTTGGGTTTACTGTGCGATCCCATAGTTTGGGTTTACTGTGCGATCCCATAGTTTGGGGTTTACTGTGCGATCCCATAGTTTGGGTTTACTGTGCGATCCCATAGTTTGGGTTTACTGTGCGATCCCATAGTTTGGGGTTTACTGTGCGATCCCATAGTTTGGGTTTACTGTGCGATCCCATAGTTTGGATTTACTGTGCGATCCCATAGTTTGGGTTTACGTGCGGTCCCATAGTTTGGGTTGGGTGACCACAATTGCACTGCTGTTGCTTGTCTTTAATGTATCTCTATTGGGTATCTATGTATCCCTCTGAGTTGCTACGTATGTCTCTGACTCTCTATGCATCTCGATGTGTCCCTCTATGTGTCTAAATATCTCTTTGGGTTGCTATGTCCCTGAGTCTTTATATATCTCTATGTATCTCTCTGTGTCTCTGAGTCTCTGTATAGCTAGGTGTCTCCGTATATCTACGAGAATCTGTGAGTTTACAACATGGTCCATAGTTTGAGTGGAATGTCCACAATCACTACTGTGACATATCTTTAAATGTATCTCTGTGGGTCTCTGTATATCTCTATGAGTCTATTTGCATCTAAATGAGTGTCTTACCATGCGGTCACATAGTTTGGGGTTTACTGTGCGGTCCCATAGTTTTGGCTTTACCGTGCCATCCCATAAATTGGGTTTACTGTGCGATCCCATAGTTTGGGGTTTACTGTGCGATCCCATAGTTTGGGGTTTACTGTGCAGTCCCATAGTTTGGCTTTACCGTGCCATCCCATAAATTGGGTTTACTGTGTGATCCCATAGTTTGTGGTTTACTGTGCGATCCCATAGTTTGGGGTTTACTGTGCCATCCCATAGTTTGGGGTTTACTGTGCCATCCCATAGTTTGGGGTTTACTGTGCGATCCCATAGTTTGGGGTTTACTTTGCGATCCCAAAGTTTGGGGTTTACTGTGCGATCCCATAGTTTGGGTTTACAGTGCGATCCCATAGTTTGGGTTTACTGTGCGATCCCATAGTTTGGGGTTTACTGTGCGATCCCATAGTTTGGGGTTTACTTTGCGATCCCAAAGTTTGGGGTTTACTGTGCGATCCCATAGTTTGGGTTTACTGTGCGATCCCATAGTTTGGGGTTCACTGTGCGATCCCATAGTTTGGGTTTACTGTGCGATCCCATAGTTTGGGGTTTACTGTGCGATCCCATAGTTTGGGGTTTACTTTGCGATCCCAAAGTTTGGGGTTTACTGTGCGATCCCATAGTTTGGGTTTACTGTGCGATCCCATAGTTTGGGTTTACTGTGCGATCCCATAGTTTGGGGTTTACTGTGCGATCCCATAGTTTGGGGTTTACTTTGCGATCGCAAAGTTTGGGGTTTACTGTGCGATCCCATAGTTTGGGTTTACTGTGCGATCCCATAGTTTGGGGTTCACTGTGCGATCCCATAGTTTGGGTTTACTGTGCGATCCCATAGTTTGGGGTTTACTGTGCGATCCCATAGTTTGGGGTTTACTTTGCGATCCCAAAGTTTGGGGTTTACTGTGCGATCCCATAGTTTGGGTTTACTGTGCGATCCCATAGTTTGGGGTTCACTGTGCGATCCCATAGTTTGGGGTTTACTGTGCGATCCCATTGTTTGGGCTTTACCACGCGGTCCCATTGTTTGGTCCCCACAGCGCGTGTTGAATGGCCACCAGTGGCATCGCCGTTCGCTCCTGCTGCGTCGCATTCCCCTCCACGCGTCGCGGGAGCGGCTACGCAACGAGTGGGGGCCTGGCTCAGCCCTCGTGGCTGCGTGGTTGGGGGGGGGAGTGGGTGGGTGTGTGGGTGGGGCCAAAGGCCCTCTCCACCGCACGTGTTGTGGCGGACACTATAAAGGGGAGGGTGAGTGGGAGGCGGCGTGTAGGAAGGAGGCGGGGATCAGGAGGCGAAGCGGCAGAGGACCCACGTTGGCCGCTCAGTGTCCCCTCCACCGTGGTAGCGCGCACGGGGCGTCGGGGGTGCTATCGGAGACACCCCCCCCACCCCACCGATCTCACGGCTTCTCTCTGTTGCCGCAGCCCCCCTCTCTCTGCACATCACCAGCAGCACCACCACCACCACCAGCAGCACCACCACCAGCACCACCACCACCAGCAGCACCGCCACCACCAGCAGCACCGCCAGCAGCACCAGCAGCACCACCACCAGCAGCACCACCACCACCAGCAGCAGCACCACCAGCAGCACCGCCAGCAGGACCACCAGCAGCAGCAGCACCACCACCAGCACCACCACCAGCACCACCACCACCAGCACCACCACCAGCAGCACCAGCACCACCACCAGCAGCAGCACCAGCAGCAGCAGCGTCGTCCCACTCATCCTCGCCGTCCGATGCTCCGGTAAGCAAGGGTAGAGGAAGGCGGTCGCGTCTCTCGCCCCGTGTTTACCGGTGCGTCGCCCACCCCACCATCCCCGTGTGTGTGTTACACTGGTGTGTGTGTGTGTGTTACACTGGTGTGTGTGTGTGTTACACTGGTGTGTGTGTGTGTTACACTGGTGTGTGTGTGTGTTACACTGGTGTGTGTGTGTTACACTGGTGTGTGTGTGTGTGTTACACTGGTGTGTGTGTGTGTTACACTGGTGTGTGTGTTACACTGGTGTGTGTGTGTGTTACACTGGTGTGTGTGTGTTACACTGGTGTGTGTGTGTGTGTTACACTGGTGTGTGTGTGTGTGTTACACTGGTGTGTGTGTGTGTTACACTGGTGTGTGTGTGTGTTACACTGGTGTGTGTGTTACACTGGTGTGTGTGTGTGTTACACTGGTGTGTGTGTTACACTGGTGTGTGTGTGTGTGTGTTACACTGGAGTGTGTGTTACACTGGTGTGTGTGTGTGTGTGTTACACTGGTGTGTGTGTGTGTGTTACACTGGTGTGTGTGTGTGTGTTACACTGGTGTGTGTGTGTGTGTTACACTGGTGTGTGTGTGTGTGTTACACTGGTGTGTGTGTGTTACACTGGTGTGTGTGTGTTACACTGGTGTGTGTGTGTTACACTGGTGTGTGTGTGTGTGTTACACTGGTGTGTGTGTGTTACACTGGTGTGTGTGTGTGTGTTACACTGGTGTGTGTGTGTGTGTGTTACACTGGTGTGTGTGTGTGTGTGTTACACTGGTGTGTGTGTGTGTGTTACACTGGTGTGTGTGTGTGTGTTACACTGGTGTGTGTGTGTGTTAGTGTTACACTGGTGTGTGTGTGTGTGTGTTACACTGGTGTGTGTGTGTGTGTTAGTGTTACACTGGTGTGTGTGTGTGTGTTAGTGTTACACTGGTGTGTGTGTGTGTGTTAGTGTTACACTGGTGTGTGTGTGTGTGTGTTAGTGTTACACTGGTGTGTGTGTGTGTGTTAGTGTTACACTGGTGTGTGTGTGTTAGTGTTACACTGGTGTGTGTGTTAGTGTTACACTGGTGTGTGTGTTAGTGTTGCACTGCTGTGTGTGTGTAACACACACACACCCACCCAACAGTGTAAGTGTAACACACACACACACCCACCCAATAGTGTAAGTGTAACACACACACACACACCCAATAGTGTAAGTGTAACACACACACACCCACCCAATAGTGTAAGTGTAACACACACACACCCACCCAATAGTGTAAGTGTAACACACACACACCCACCCAACAGTGTAAGTGTAACACACACACACCCAATAGTGTAAGTGTAACACACACACACCCACCCAACAGTGTAAGTGTAACACACACCCACCCAACAGTGTGTGTGTGTTGCACACACACCCACCCAACAGTGTGTGTGTGTGTGTTGCACACTGGTGCGCGCGTGTGTGTGTGTTGCACACTGGTGGGCGTGAGTGGGGAGCGGTGGCGCAGTGGTTAGCGCACTGAGATACGAACCCCACCGGGCGACTCCAGTTCGAATCCCGCTCACAGCCACCCCCGGTGACGATTATCTGAACCGGTCCTGGGCCTCCCCTAGGTCGACTCAGCTTCAAATGAGTACCTGGTGGCGATGTGTGAACATCGCCACTAGGGAGACAAAGGCGGCCGGGCGTGGTGCTGGCCACCCACCCCCTCGTGTACCGTGCCGGTGTTCATAGGTAGCGCTGCTACTCGCTAACAGCACTTGCCCCTACAGTCTGTTACAGGCTACACGGGGGATCTTTGTGTGAGAGTGTTGTGCAATCGCTGCTGATACAGTGTGCGTGTGTTCGCGGTTGTGATTAGTGTGTAAAGCATGCCTGTGTGTGTGTGGTGTAGTGTGGATGTGTATGGTGTGCTGTGTGGGGTGATGTGTGTGTGTGTGTAGTGTGTGCTTGGTGTACTCCTGTGTAGTGTAGTGTGGATGTGTGTGTAGTGTGTGCTTAGTGTAAAGCATGCCTGTGTGTGTGGTGTAGTGTGGATGTGTATGGTGTGCTGTGTGTGGGGTGGTGTGTGTGTGTAGTGTGTGCTTGGTGTACTCCAGTGTAGTGTAGTGTGGATGTGTATGGTGTGCTGTGTGCTGTGTGTGGGGTGATGTGTGTGTGTAGTGTGTGCTTAGTGTAAAGCATGCCTGTGTGTGCTTAGTGTAAAGCATGCGTGTGGTGTAGTGTGGATGTGTATGGTGTGCTGTGTGTGGGGTGATGTGTGTGTGTGTAGTGTGTGCTTGGTGTACTCCAGTGAAGTGTAGTGTGGATGTGTATGGTGTGCTGTGTGTGGGGTGATGTGTGTGTGTGTAGTGTGTGCTTAGTGTAAAGCCTGTGTGTGTGGTGTGGTGTAGTGTGTGTGTGGTGTGTGTGGGGGTGTGGTGTGTGTGTGTGGGGGGTGTGGTGTGTGGGGTGTGGTGGGTGTGGTGTGGGGTGTGGTGTTGTGTGTGGGGTGTGGTGTGGGGTGTGGTGTAGTGTGTGTGTGTGTGTGGGGTGTAGTGTGTGTGGGGTGTGGTGTAGTGTGTGTGTGTGGGGTGTGATGTAATGTGTGTGGGGGGTGTAGTGTGATGTAATGTGTGTGGGGGGTGTAGTGTAATGTGTGTGTGTGTGGGGGCTGTAGTGTAATGTGTGTGGGGTGTAGTGTAATGTGTAATGTGTGTGTGTGGGGTGTAGTGTAATGTGTGTGTGTGTGTGGGGTGTAGTGTAATGTGTGTGTGTGTGTGGGGTGTAGTGTAATGTGTGTGTGTGTGTGGGGTGTAGTGTAATGTGTGTGTGTGTGTGGGGTGTAGTGTAATGTGTGTGTGTGTGTGGGGTGTAGTGTAATGACTCCGGCAAAACAACCCCCTACCTCCTCGCAGTGCCGGACGGGCAACTCTGTCGTGGACAGTGCTGTGGGGGGAGATCCAATTTTGATTGGCTCCTCCCCTCATGGCATGTGTGTCCACCACAGGGGCTAAACGGGGGCTCTGGACGGGTGCGAGGGGCTGGTAACCCCTCCACCTTCAATTAATTACAACGAAACCACGAATTAAACTGAAATATGTAACTAATAAGCTTGTGCCGGAGGCCCCGGGGGCCAGGCGTCTATGACGTCTCCTGGCCAAACCCCAATTGGCGGAGCCAGGAGATTGAATACCTACCCTCGGGGCTACTCCAGAAACAACGAAAAGCCACTACGGGTGGCCACGTGGAATGTTCGAACGCTCACTGCAGAGGAGAGGCTGCCACTCCTCTGTCGGGAGCTGGACCGGTACCGCCTGGATCTATGCGGCATTCAGGAGGTCCGGTGGACCGGCTCTGGCTCCTGCCACCATGAGGGGTGGACAGTCCTCTACTCGGGGCAGCAGACTGCCAAACAACAGGGTGTGGGTCTTCTTTTGAACAAAAGAATGAAGGGGGCGTGGGAGCGTGGCGGTGAGGTGTGGGAAGCTGTAAGCCCCAGGCTACTTTGGGCTCGCCTTCCCATCAACCGGAGGCGAGGAATGGTGGTCGTGGTTACTTATGCCCCCACCGAAGATGAACATCCGTGGAGGGATGCAGGCAAAGCCGATGAGTCGGATGCCTTCTATGACCTCCTGTCACAGGTGCTGGCTAAAGTGGCCCCTCGGGATAGAGTCATCATGTTGGGTGACTTCAATGCCCGAGTTGGTCATGATACTGGCACCTGGTCTGGAGTGATTGGAGGGCATGGGCCAGATCAGCTCAATAACAACGGTAGGAGGCTGCTAGATTTTTGTGCAGCCCATGGACTTGTAATTACCAACACGCTGTTCCGGCATCGGCGCATCCACACAACATCATGGATGCATGCCGGGTCCAAGCAAGAACATCTGCTGGACTACATAGTGACGGACCAGCGAATGCGAGCCCATGTCCTTGACACCAGGACCTACCGTGGAGCTGATCTGCCCTCTGACCATCGACTAGTCATCTGTAAGATGCGCCTGCCATTCTTCCACTCCGGTGGTGGGTGTACACCCAGGACCCCATTCCAACATAAAGTGGCCTGGTCTCAGTTATCTGATGAAAGTTGCAAGCGAGAATTTCATCATCGCTTGCGGCTGGGATTGGCATCGTCCCCGACTCCTCCTGATGTCGAGGGTAAATGGGCGAGGTTTAGGACTGTGACTCATGCAGCTGCAATGGCTGCTTTGGGTACGCGGTCCAGACCTCCCCAGAGACCCTGGCTGACAGAGGAGGTGTTCAGGATGGTTGAGAAAAAGCGACAGGCCCACTGTCATCGGCTACAGAATCCCACGTCAGAGAATGAGGAGGCTTACCGCAGCCTTCGCTCGGAGGTTCGGAGAGCCGTGAGGCGCTGCAAGGATGGGTGGTGGTCGCGGGTTGCTGAGGAGATGGAGTCTGCCTCAGTGGCCCGTGATCACAAATCTCTATTTAACTCCATCAAAAAAGTAACCTGCAGCGCCACACCTATTACCATCATTAGGGGAAAAAACGGTGATCCAATCTCCGACCCCCAGGAACAGGTTCGCAGATTTGCTGAGCATTTCTGTGAGGTCCTGGGGGAGGGAAAATCCCTCAGCCAGGAAAACATCGTGGCACAAAGTGAGGATGACCCTGCTGAGGCTGCGGTGCCTCAAATATTGGAAGAAGTCACCCCCTGTGAGTGGCTGGCTGAGGTGCCATCTGCTGAGGAAGTATTGAGGGCGATCCGGAGTCTGAGACCAGGAAAGGCAGCGGGCAGAGATGATCTCCCAAGCGAAATGCTGAGGGAGGGTGGCGTTTGTGCACAGACTGCCCTATATGACATCATAACAACAGTCTGGACCACTGGACGGGTTCCGCAGGATTGGAAGGATGCCCTGGTGGTCCCCCTTTTTAAGAAGGGGGACCGCACAGACTGTAACAACTACAGGGGCATCTCACTCCTCAGTGTGCCGGGAAAGGTCCTGGCAAGGATTATTCAGCATCGCCTTGCCAGGCACGCTGAGGAGAGGCTTGCGGAGCCCC